ATTACTATTAAATATATGTATCCTTCCTCCAAAAAAAGCCCTGCCATCAAGTTGATTCCAACTCATAGTGACCCCCACAGAGTTTCCAAGGCTGTGAATATGTATGGAAGCAGAGTGCCTTATCTTTCTTCCAAGCAACTGGTGAGTTTGAAGCATGACCTTTTGGTTAGCAACTCAATGCCTTAACCGTAGCACCACCAAAGTCCATATGTACATACCTATGTATTTCCTGAGTGACACAAATAGTGAATGCTCTCTGTTACTACCTGAAAGACTGGAGGTTCTGGTCCACCAGAAGTATCATGGAAGAAAGGCCTGTCAATCTCTTTCCAAAAAAATCAGCCCTAAAAAACCCCATGGAGCATAGTTTTACTCATGGTGTTGTAGAAACAACAAGATCTTTACCCCCTGTCACACAGAGTCAATTATTACAACAGGTTGAAGCTGTTGTTGTTGTTTTTTACTCAGTATGGATACCCAAGGAGACAGAGATAATCTCTTCTCTAAAAAGTCTGTCTCCTCAAGCTGAGAAATGGTTAGGGAATTGGGCTAAGGCTTGAGGAATGGTGATAATGTTTTCGTCTTGTTATTGAGATGAGTTGTTGTTGAGCTCTCTGCTATTTTTCTAGTCATTGTTAAAAAACCATCCTTGGCCATGGTGGCAGGGGACATCAAGCTCAATTGGCATAACATAATACACAAAAACATTGTTCTACATCCTACTTTGGTGAGCAGTGACTGGGATTTTAAAAGCTTGCAAGCAACTATCGGTCTCTTCTCATCCAGAGCAAAGAAGAAGGAAGAAAACCAAAGATGCCTAGAAACAATTAGTCCAAGGGAGTGGCACACCAGACAATCCTCAGCCTATATGACCATGAGACCAGAAAAACTAGATGGTGTCCAGCTATCACTGTCAACCACTCGGAGGGGGATCTATGTAGGAGACCATGGATAGAGTGGGAGAACAATGTGGAACAAAACTCAAATTCATAGAAAAAAAAAAGGGGGGGAGGACCAGGTTTGCTGATCTGATAGAGCCTGATGAACCCCTGAAACTATGGCCCCTAGCTGCCCTTCAGGTCTGGAATTGAACCTACTCTTGTGGCTTCCAGCCAAACAAAAGACAGGCATATGAGCTGAACATTTACATTAGGTAGATACACTCCTTGGAGAGATCAGTCAATGGAGAATAGAAGGGCTGTGTATGCACAGGGAGATAGCTCAGGGGGCAGGACTACATTGGAGGCAAGAACACAGGGAAGAGGTAACTATGGGGAGGAACTGGGAGGAGAACTGTTGCATTGTGGGAGACTGCAGTCAATGTCATGAAACAAAGTGTATGTGAACTGCTGTATGGAAAATGAATTTGCTCTGTAAACTTTCACCTAAATCACAATAAAATTAAAATAATAATAATAAAGCCATCCTTGGTCAGGAGAAAGTGTTTGTCAAGTTCCTTGTACCTACCTAAAAAGATTAACTCTACAAGAAGGGAAGTGTATGGGAGTGGGCACCCTCAGTCCTCTCAGTCAGCCAGGAGTATCTCTGTTTCTCCTTTATCTTGGTTGCTCCAGGCTCAGATCATCTGGCTCCATAAACTGCGATCATCAGCTACAAACAAGCAGCGAGCTTAAGCCAGATGCCGAAAGGAATGTGTGAGAACAACCTGAAATAACTATATTATTTACTTAGAAGAAAGGAAGGGGTGAAAGAAAAATAGAAAATTTATCATTGCGGTTAATATCTAATCGTAGCTGTTAATTTGTTATATTTCTGTAATTTGTCAGCAAAAAGCCTTCTCTGGCCCTTCAATAATGGCATCATCATGAGTCAGAGTCAATGGGACGATGTGACAGTGGCTGGTTATATATTTCCTGCAGAAAAGAAGTCTCTATGCAAACATTTTAGTCTTTATCAGCCTCATCTCCTAAAGTTAACAGTAGAAGCCCACCCTACAATTTCACATTCCTTCTGTGTTAATCTCAGGCGTTTTATCCTCTTTAAGGAAAAACCCCAACCTACCAACCTTGAGAAAGAGGACCAAGTCCACTTCTTACTTAGCATATATTTTTACAACTCACTTTGTGTGAGGCGCTCTTGTAAGCAAATTGCCTATATGAGCTCATTCCATCCTCATAATAGCATTCCAGAGGCAGGTACTATTAGTCTCCTTATTTTACAGATAGGTATATTAAGTCACAAGGAGCTCTGGTGGGACAATGCCTAAGGCATTTTACTGCTAACTGGAAGGTTGGCAGTTCTAACCCACCAGCCACTTCTCAGAAGAAAGATGGGGCAATTTACTTCCGTAATGATTTACCTCCTCAGAAACCCAATGGGGGTCACTGTGAGTTGGAATCAACTCGATGGCAATGGGTTTACATGGAGTCAAAGAGAGGTTAAGTTACACTCCCAAGGACACACAGCTAGTAAAGCTTACTCAGGTAACCTGACTTCAGAGTCTGTGGTCTTAACCACTCCATTATGTAAATTCTGCTCACAAGTTTTGAACTCCAGAGCCTCATATCTACTAGACAGTAGGGTCTCAATAAAAATTTGTTGAATCTGTCTTAGTGTAAAAAACTATGTCAGATACTCTGCTAGAAATTAAAAGAATAAATTTATTATTATTATTAATTTTTATTGTGATCTGGGTGAAAGTTTACAGAGCAAATTCATTTTCAATACAGCAGTTCATACACATTTTGTTTCATGACATTGACTGCAATTCCCCACAATGTAATAGACAGCTCTCTTCCCACTTCCTCCCTATAGTTACCTTTCCTCTGTGTCCTGCTTTCCTACTCATTCCTGCCCCCTGAGCTGTCTCCCTTTGCAAATACTGCCTTTCTGTTCTCCCATGACTAATCGCTCTAAGGAGTGTATCTACCTGATGTAAATGTTCACCCTATATGCCTGTCTATTGTTTGGCTTGAAGCCATGGGAGTGAGTTCAAGTCAAGACCTGAAGGGTAACTAGGGGCCATAGTCTCAGGGGTCTCACCAGACCCCATCAGACCAGTAAATCTGGTCTTTTTTTTATTTTTTATTTTATGATTTTGAGTTTT